CCTATCCAGACAGACCTGCGGAGACAACAACATGCACAAAAACAAGACAGAGCAAAACCAAGCAACAATGTACAACAAAACAGCAACAACAACAATTACCTTTTATTTAGTAGTTGGAAAAAAAGCAAGATGGAAAATGAGAATCAAATTTTATTATGTATCTTCAAGTATATTGACACATACATAAGACACATATGCAGCTATAAAGATATGGCCATATAAATAATTTAATATTCATATACATACAACGTGTATGTCTACATATATAACACCCACAGAAAAGTAAATTAGATAGGTGGATGTAGACCTAAGTTAGCAACTTAGCTTCTTACTCCTCTTTCTGCTCACTTTCAGACTGCAAAAGAGAAAGGTGTTTATTACATTTTTCAATACATGGCATGTTGGAGGGAGCCTGGTGACATAGTGCATGATGTGTTGTTGGACTGCTAACCACAAAGTTCACAGGTGAAACCATCAGGTACTCCACAGGACAAAGAGGAGGCTTTCTACTGTCACATAGAGTTATTGTCCGAAATGCACAGGGGCAGTTCCACCCTAACCTAAATGGTCACTCTAAGGTGGAATCGACTTGATGGCAATAAGTGAGTTTTCTATGGTATAGATAAGAGGGATTCAAACAGTGTGGACAAATGGAATTAAAAGACAATGGAATTTGTACATGTACTTTTTGAAGTCCCTAATATAGATTCAGTAATGGTATATGTGAGGGGACTTCAAAAAATTTCTGGAAAAATTCCATAATCTTCTAATTCCATATATCTAGAAATTCTTAAAAGTTCCCCTCCTCATAATTTCTCATATTGTCCTGGCCAAAATGGAATATGCTTATCAATATGTAGTTTATTTGAAATTACATAATACCAATTTTGGATAAAAATTGGTCAAAGTACTATAATCATATACAGAAAAAGAATAAAAGAGATGGTATATATAAATATATATATATATACACGCACACAGATATAATTTATATTAATTTAATGTGAATTAAAAGATATATACCAAAAAGAGAGAAACATCTCCATATCTTTTCCAAGAAACGGTTCATTATTTTACTGACATTTGCAGATGTGCTACTGGCCGTTTGCATTAAAATCTCATTTTAATTTTCATAATAAGCTAGGAGTGGAAAAATCCCATTTAATTTAAAGTAGAGGATATTAAGACCTCAAGTGGTCAATTGACCTATACGTTTTGTGACAGCAAGGGCCAAGTATTTTTCTTTACCAACATATTATAAGTATCTAATAATACCTGGTACATGATGGAAAAATTAGATGGATAAATGGATGAATGATACTGCTCATGATTGGACAAATAAAGTCTATTTATTCTTATTCCAAAGTTTAAGAACTTCAAAGTATCTAGAAAAATATCACTGAATAGTAAAAAGTAAACATCAGCTTATTAAAATATATGAATCCTTATTAAAATAGTCTGCCAGCCACATCATGTTACAGCTATGTACAAAGTATGTCACTGTCCTCTATTGACTTGCTTAATTCAAATATTTAATTTATCTCAACTATACAAAATAGTTATCAAATAAAGAAGACACTATAAGAGTGCTTTACGAAATAAAGTATTTGAGTATGCAAACACAGAACTGGATTTATTTATAACAGCAGGGTTAGCTCAAAGAAAAACTTTGAAGCTATGTTCTGTCCTTCTTACTTTTACATTTCCCACTCTGGTCCACAGGCCAAAGTCCTCAATGTGCTAGTCCGCAGGCCTCTACTCATGTCGTTCTTCACCCTTGTTTCCTTTACATGGAAACAGTCACATCTATTACTAAAAGTTTAAAAATATGGATTGGGCCCTGAGTGTGTCATTAAATTGTTACGTGACAACTGGCAAGCAACTTTTGCTTTAAATGTTGGATGAAAACTCAGACTGGTGTTTCCCAATACTGCTTAATTATAAGAATGTTATTGTTGCTGTGTGCAGTGTGGCATTGCGTTGATTACAACTCCCAGAGACTCCCGGTGACAGAGTAGAAGCACTAACCATAGGGTTTCATAGTGTAATCTTGACAGGTGGTGATCACCACGTCTTTTCTCCTGTGGAGTGGCTAGTAGCCTAAGGAACTTCTGACCTTTTGGCACCTTAATACTTAACCACTATGCCACCAATCGCCTTAATTCTAATAATACTTGAGGGAATAATCGGAGTTCCTTGTTAAAAGGGAGATTCCTGAGTCCCAACCCAGACATATTGCTAGAAAGAGTAAGAGGTTAATTACAAAAATGCAAATTTCACTTGCTTTCTGTACTTTGAGTATATTACCTTGACTTTGAAGCCCCAGAACAGAACTCTGGTAGAGTAGTGGCTTCGGTGTTGGACTCCTAACCACAAATTAAACAGTTCAAACCCACCCTCCATCCCATAAAGAAAAATGAGACTGTCCACTCCCGTAAAGACATAGAGTCTCAAAAACTTTAAGGAGTAGTTCTACTCTGTCCTAGAGGGTCTTCGTGAATCATAATCGACCTGATGGCAGTGGGTTTGCTTGTTTGTTCTTTTTTCTTCCCCATTTTAAGCTACATGTTTCTAAAGTGATCGGTTAGTAAATGTCTTCAAATCTTAAAAAAAAAAAAGACTGCCTGAATACCATTCCTAATAAATATACCCATTCCTCACTTTCCAACATGGTTAGGTTCCTAAGACTCAGGCCATTATGAAAATTGTGCAGTTTGCAAGGATGAGAAAGGTGCAGAGGCAGCCTCAAAGCCAAAGCCCTGCAGTGGATCTCAACCTTCCTGATGCCGCGACCCTTTAATACAGTTCCTCATGTTGTGGTGACGCCCCCAACCATCAAATTATTTTCGTTGCTACTTCACAACTGTAATTTTGCTACTGTGATAAATCGGCGACCGCTGTGAAAGGGTCATTCGACCCCCAAAGGGGTCGCAACCCACAGGTTGAGAACCGCTGCCTTAGAACATCTATGCCTCAGCACCAAGTGGGCCTGGGGCCCAGGGACTAGAAGAAGCTCAGGCAAACAGTGGGGACCAAGTATCTTAACAGCTGATCGGAATTGCTGCTCATGCTTATACCCCGTGCAGCCACCCCCTCAGTTTTCCCAGCTTCGTGTTGCCACTCACATGCTGGGGAGGGATCCCACGGAAACGAACCATGTGCTTGGAATCTGAGACTGGCACAGCTGCTTGCAAAAGCAGATGAGCAGCCTGGGTCACGGAGGAGAAGGGACAGAGAACAGGTTTCTGCTGCAGCCCCCAAATTACCCCCAGGGCCCTTCCTGCCTTAAGACTGGGGCCCTTTAGGGCACCTGAGGAGAGCAGCAGCAGCAACTTCCCCTGCGCCCACCTCATCCAGGGTCCCTCCAGCCCCTTGGGGCCCACTCTCTCAAAATCCATTTCAGTCACCTCTTTTTCATGAAGAGCTGCAACGGTAGCTCGGACGGTTGGAATGGGATGAGCAAAACCCTTCCTGGAATGCTGGTTCTTCGGGTGCTAGCCGAGCTGACCTGGGTAGCTCTGCCGACCATGAATTGGCCTTGGGGAGGCAACTCGGGGTAATTCAAAAAATAGCTGAGTAGATTTTTTTACTACTGTCATGATGAAAGAGTCAAATGAAACATCAGATAATGAGACAGTCACTAAGTGAGGACACAGCAAAGGCTTTAATGGAGCACAGGGATTTCTGGTCACTATTTCAGGCATCTGAGCTTTTAAATTTTACATCCTTATACTCTAAGATTCTAGAGCGTTACCTCAAGTAGACAGTCCTATAGGAAAGAATTCCATTTTTTTTTTTAATACAAGAAGACATTTCCAACATCTTTCTCACACTAACTCACTCACCGTCATCTAATTAATTCTGACTCACAGTGACGTGATGGAACAGAACAGACCTGCCCCATTGGCTTTCTAAGGCTGTACCTCTTCACAGGAGTAGAAACCCTCTTCTTTCTCCTACAGAGGAGCTGGTGGTTTCGAACTGATGATCTTACAATTAGCAGCCCACCTTGTAACCCATTATGCCACCATGACACCAACATCTTTACTCTTTAAAATGACCACAACAACTACACAAGTAAACAATAACCAAATGCTTTTCCTTTTTTAAGTATCTTTTGTTCGATTGTTTATTTCTAGCATTGTGTAAAAAATAAAATAGTCTTACCTAATCGTAGTTCTCCAAAGTTGCCACATCCAATTTTTTTCCCAACTCTAAAGTTAGGTCCAACCATTAAGACTCCAGAGGAGGAAGACCCAGTCCCTCGAGTACTGTGCCCCGATCGACCACTGGGCCGTGCCATTCTATCGTCCGATTTGTCCTTGTCTTTTTTTTTATTATCCATATCAAGTTTACGGTACTCCACTTTGAATTCTTTAGTCAAGACAAGCACACTGAAACAGGGTATTGTGAGAACAGGTACATCACTAGGAAACAGTACCAGGTGGGTAACGTTAACATTCAAATTGTAGTAGGTAGTCAATTAGCTGGCGCGTGTTCATCCCATTCGGAAAATGATTTTTCTCAGTTGTCTTTTCAGCAAAACATGTCTTCAAATTTATCTTTTCAGTGATGTATGCTGACACTGATAGGGAGCTAGAATATTAAGAAAAGAAAATTAGTCAACTAAGAGAATTAAAACATTTATTTGGAAAATTAGATATAGGATTAGGCAACAAATTATTGCTACTCACAGATGCCCACTGAAATTAAACCACAAGAGTCGTAAATTTTTCTGTATTTATGCACTAAAAGTTTGCTCCCCAACACCAAAATATATGTTGGAATTCTAACTCCAATATCTGAGGGTATAATCCTGGGAAGAGAATATTCTCTGTTAATCATACCAGAATAAGGTGGTTCTAAATCAAGAGCAAAGCTTGTGAATTTACAAAGGGTATCCTAGCCTCAGAGATATACCCATAGACTATGGGTGGGAGGGCAGTAGTAATGCAGTCAGACAGTCACCAGATGAAGATGCCCACCAGTCAAAGAGCCAAGGAATAGCAAGGGTTACCTTCAAAGAAAGAATCAGCATGGCCAAGATTTGGATTTGGATTTTCAGCCTCCAGAAAGGTGAGAAAATAACTTTCTGATTTGTAAGCGCCACTCACTGTGGTAATGTAGTATTCCTGTTACAGCCCCACTAGGAACCTGTAAGTCTGTAAGGTGACCAAACGTCCAGATTTTTAACAATTTTTCCCGTGTCCTGTGGTATTTTAAAAAAGCCCCGGTTTTTGGAAAGACTGCACGGCAGGCTAGGGTATACGGTTTTCGGCTGCCG